GGGGCACCGAGTCTCACGGGTCCCTGTGGGCTGGAGGACGGGGCTGCAGGCCACGCGGCCCGAGTTCCCCGCAGCCTCTCCAGCCAGAGCCTGGGTTCTGGCTCTGATTCCAGGTCCTAGCCTCTCCCACCCAGTCCAGTCCCAAGCCCAGCAGCGGTTCCCATACCGGCCTCGGGCTGGGAGCCAAGACAGAGCAGCAGGGCGGAGCAGTGCGAGTCCCTTCCTGCCACGCGGCACGGGAGCGGCACAGTTGGCGCTGGTGCCCGAGTGGGGGTGGGGAGGCCTGGGCCGCATTCACAGGCTGGGGCTGGGGCTGGCCGAGCGGCACGGAGGACCTGGGCCCTGCCGGCAGTGGGCAGAGCAGCGGGCAGTGGCGCAGCGTTACCTGGGGAGCGGCTGGAGGCCCTGGGGGCGGCGCGCTCCCGGGACTTGTAGGGGTGCCTGAGCGTGGTGTCCAGCTGCTTGAAGCTCTCCTTGAGGGAGTGGCTCTGGTAGTACTCCACCAGCTCCTGCAGGGGGCAGCACTCAGAAGACTCCGGGCCAGGAGGGGAGGTGCTTGCTTTGCCCAGACCCCCAGCTCCTCCCTGCTCCTCCCCCAGCCCAGGGTGGGCCTCCAGCCCTAGACCCTGGCCCAGAAACGGCAGCCCCAAGTTCCCTAGAGGAATGATGTGGAAGGACCCTGAGTCTGCCACGCCCCCGAGAACAGAAACCGGACATCAGGTGTTCAGTGCGGGACAACGCTCATCTCCAGGACAGGTGCAGGCCTGTCAGCCAGAGTGAGAGGATTCAGCGAGGGAACGGGCTGGCCACCCTGGAGGTCACCAGGACCCTGCAGTACAGCCAGCGAGTTTGCTTTTGAAAGGTACGGACCACACCCACTGTGCTGGCCTCTGGATCTAGGGGCAGGGCTGCAGACACTTCCTGTTTGACTCTGCTTTGGGGGGCCACAGAGTGGAGGAGGCACTGTCCTAGCCTGGGGACCTCGACACTTGCCACTCGGATGTGGGAGGGAAACGACCCGATTGACTCTAAAGTCACTCAAGGAAGACCACCACGCCTTCAACTGTGCCCCACAGGCCAGCCGCTGCAGGGGGCGCTGGGGAGGGCATCTGCGGTCACCTCCCCGGGCCTGGGGCAGGAAGCTCCCCTCGAGAGGCTGTGGGGACGAAGTGGCCAGAGAGGGCCCCTCCTGCTGCCCACCAGGGCCACCCACCCAGCACAGGCTCTGGGGTCAGAAGTCCATTTCCCACGCCGGGCGAGATCAGGTCTTCTGCCTGGGTAGGCAGAGGGCCAGGGCCGGGGCCGGACCTACCGAGAGGCTCTCGAACTTCTTGGCTTCCGTGATGTGGACCCAGCTGTCCTTTTCCACCACCTTGATGTGCTTCACCTCATCGTTGAACCTGTACGTTGAACCGGCCCCTGTGGTCACTGTGTGAGGCTCACGTGGCCCCGGCCCCTTGGCACGCACACTCCAGTAGCCATGGCCCCTCTGCACCCTGCCACCCGCCCCACCTGGGCACCCGGGGCTCGTCTCCCACCACGCCATTCTCTGGAGGCCCTGCAGCTGGGGCAGCCTCGCTTCAGGCGCCCACAGGGGGAGGAAAACACTCCGAGACACACGAGTGGGTGGTGTCCTGCTCCTGTGTGCCACCAAAACCCCTTCCCTGCTGGCGTCCGACACATGCAGCTCCAGGGCCAGATCCGAGGACCCGTGGTGCCCAGCGGAACGGAGGGACCCACTGAGGTCAGGACAGACCCAGGACAAGGAGGGGACGGCCCTCCCAGGGGTCCCCGCAGCCCCACGCCAGACTCACTTGATGCTGATGGCAAAGCGCTCGGCCTCCGCGGGCCGCTCCCGGACGAGGTAGGTGCCGCTGGCGTGGCCCTTGAGCAGGTTGTCTGTCTGCTGCCTCTCCATGTTGCCGGCGAACCTAGGCCGGGGACAGACGCTGTGACTAAAGCAGGGCCAGGGCCAGCCCAGAGCCGCTCGCTCTGTGCGCGCGGGGGGCAGCCGGAGCTGGCAGTGAACACTCACGCCAACGCGCCTTTTCACTACTTAAAAAGCAGTACTAGCCGGGCGCGGGGCGCTGCCTGTGAGCCCAGCACCTGGGAGGCTGAGGCAGGAGGTCACTGAGAGTTCAAAGCCAGCCTGGGCCACACAGTGACCCAAGGCCAGTCTGAAGTGCCCGGGGAGAACCCCAAACCGAAATATGGAGGGTGGCTCCCTGTGCAGAGGTTGCCGAGCTGCTCAGGGCTCGCAGGGCCACGCTGCCCGACACTGGCCGTGGAACGGCAGCCCACGCGCCCAACCCACTCACCAGGGGTAGGCGGTGTAGTCCATCTCCCGGGACGGCGGCCGGCTCATGGGCGGCTGGGGGCAGAGCACAGGGTGTCAGTGCCAAGGCTGTGCCCACCACCAGTCCCGGCCAGGACCCATCCTGCTCCACGGCCCCTTCACACACACACACACACACACACACACACGCACGCACGCACGCACACGCGGGAAACAGCCCAGGAGGGCGACCGGTGGCCTGGTGAGCAGGTGACACCATCTCCTCCAGGGCCCCTGGCCTGTTTGGAGCCTACACAGACACTTTCTCCTTCCACCAGCGGAGGGGAGGGCAGGGCACAGCTCCCCGGACCCAGGGAGAAGCCCCACTCTTGCTTTTGGCTGCCTTTTGGCGGTCAGATCATTTCAGGGCTGCCAGTTCACCGCCCCTCCAATGTCACAGATGCCGCCTTCTCAGCCTTCCTTCTGACCTGTCAGAGTCCAGCTCTGGCTCCTGCACGGGGGCTCCCGCCTCTCTCGGAAGCCGAGGGACATGCCCAAGCCCCCAGCATGGCCACCCCACAGAGAGGGCCCTGGCCAGCCTTTGGCAGAGGGCAGCACCTGCCCACCCTTGTCACCGCAGCCAGCGAGCAAGGACGCCCGGGCAGCTCTGTGCCTGGCCACCGTGCTGTGCTGCCTGGGGGAGGACTCACCCTTCCATCCACAGGGCAGGGCTTCACAGACGAGCTGGGAAAGCAGCCTGACTTCCTGGTTTGCACCAGCCGCCCCTGGAGGAAGATACCCCAGCAGTTTTCGGGGTGCTCAGCTACGCAGATCCCTGTCCTGATATGAGAATCACCCCCCACCACTGCTGGCCCATCAAGGATGAGTGGGAGCGAGGGGTGTCCCCACTTCCCAGGGAGGACACAGCCACCAGGAACGGGTCCCCTTCACACAGCTCCACCTCCCACCAGGCAGCTGCCAGTCTGGCTCCAGGGGGCTGTAACTAGGTACGTGGACGGTGGGCAGAGGACAGGGCGGAGAGCGTCAGGCCCTCTGCAGCTGCCGCTCAGGGTCCCTGGGCACTGGCTCCGGCGGACTTCCTGGGTGGCAGGGCTGGCAGCTCCACCTCCACGGGCCCGGGGATTAGAGTGGTGACTTCCAAACTCGGGCTGCACCACAATGTGTGCTGGGCAGTGTCTGCCCCACTACTGGGACGGGGCCCGGGGGGACAGGCACCCAGGTGCTGAGCTGGGTGGGACAGAGGCTGGCAGGGGTCCAAGGCCACTGAGTCAGAAAGAAGGCCAGATCCAGGACTTCAATGCCCAGCCCCGCTGTGTGCCCGGGGACAGAGGGTAGTGGGGGCACCCACCTCCCACCACTGTGACTCGGGGTCACCCCGCAGCAGCTCGATCACGTCCCCAGTCTGGAAGGTGAGCACGGGCTTGCCGGGCGGGGCGGGGTTGCCGTTGTAATTCTGCACCGCCACCATCTTGGGGCCTGGGGACAGGGCAGGAGGAGGGCACGCTCACCAGGGACCTGGGTACAGGCTGCCCCCCAAGTCCTTCCCAGTTCCCGGAGCTCGCGGTGCAGGTCCCTGACACAGTGGAGTCACCCGAGTCCTGCACGTGGCACCTGCGTCTTTTTGACAAGTGCCCTAAGTAAATGCGTGGAAACAGGAGTCGCAGGGCCCACGGAGCGGTTTACCCTGCTAGACGCAGGTGACAGGGCCAGCTGGCCTAGGGACTTGCCAAAGGGCACTCGGCTGGTCAGAGGCAGCTCGGGGCCAACCGGCAGTGCTGGCCGGGTCCTCACAGAACGAGGCTGACCCCAGGGGAGCCGCGCTCCGACCCAGCCTCACTCCCAGCTGCCCAGGGGGCCCCCAAGCCCACAGCCTCCAACTGGTGGCCCAGTAGCAGCGGCAGCAGCACTGTCCAGATTTTTCTTTTCTGGCTGACGTTTACAGGACCGACGGCCAGGGTCCCACTGGGGTTTCTGTGAGTTCCAATGCCTCGGGCTGCCAGGCAGGAAGCAGACCAGGACCCAGCACAAGGGCCCAGGGTGCTGAGAGGCCCAAGGAAGGGTGACGACCCTCCGCAGCTGCCCAGTTGGAACCGTAGCCCCCCCAAGGGGCGGAAAGGGGAGGGGGCCAAAGCGGTCACTGCCTCACCCCAGGGGCACAGCGGGTTCCGGTCCAGCACTCACCTGGTCCTGCTCCAGAGGTGTCCTGCAGACAGGGCAGACAGAAGCGGTAAGGGAAGGCCCTCCTCAACCTCTGCCCAGCGGGAGGGGCGAGGCAGGCATAAGGGACAGCAGGAACCCACGCTGGACACTGTCTCTGTGTGGCCCCCCACCTCCTGCCCAGGGGTCACGGGCTCATCTGGGTCACGCATGCCGAGGAGGACATCACTGCGCCCTGAGGCCTGGGGTGTACCCCTCAATGCCAGCTCATTCGCCTGGACCCCACAGCTCGAGGGAGGCACAAGTCTGTGCCCACAGTGACCGCGCGCCCATGCTGGCTGAACATAGCACTCTGTGCCAGGCAGGGGACTTGGGACGGGAAACCATGCGGGTCACAGAGCAAGCCTGGGGCAGCAGAGGCCAGGACAGGACCACAACTCTCAGGGTGCCCAGGGGGCCGTGCATGGGGCCCCATTTCTGCTGACATCAGAAGGGAAAGGAAAGCCCCCAAGCTCGACAGGCCGGCTGTGCAGATGGCCCAGGGGGAGTGTGGGGGACTCACCGGGTCAGCGGGAGAAGCTGCAAAGGAAGAGGACAAGGGTTTAAGACCAGGTTATGGACACGGGGACAGCCGAGACTAGGAACGTCTCCGAGAGACTCTGAGAGCAGATCCCAAGCTCTGGATTTGGGGGCTCCAGGGCCTCAGATCGGGTTTCAGACCCTGGGTCTCCTGCGCAGGCCAATTCTTTTGAAGGTGGCAGCGGCCGGATCACCGGTGCACATCCTGGGCAACTGATGAGGTGCCACGATGTGGCATTCTCAGCACACACAGGTGCCACCGCGCCTGAGGATAAGGGTCTGCGAGATGGCAGCACCCACCCAGCCAACCGCTGAGCTGGGCCATCTGCCACCACAGGGCAGAGCAAGGACTCCGACAGCCAACATGACCCTCGGGGCTGGCAAAGGCGATGAGTGGCTGCATGGGCGCGCCCTGCCGGGGGAGGAGCCTACAGGTCCCCGGGCAGCAGCATCCCCCAAGGTGGAGCCGACGGAGCAGAAGGAGGGCTGCTCTGCCATGCAGAAGGCCGGAGGTGGCTGGGCAGTGACCGTGCCAACCAGAGGACAAAGAAGTGGAGTCGCGGGCCCCTTACAATGCCCAGTGCTGCCAGGGGCCGTGATGACCCAGCAAATGTGAACACTAACTCTGGCTTCACCCATGGGGCAGGACTGGGAGCCGGGAAGCAGAGCCCGTGAGGGGCAGGCCGGGGCTGCTCACCCGCCCTCACACTCATTTCCTAACCAGGGGAAGTGTCTAACAATCAGGAGGAGAAAAAGATGACCCAGAGATTATCTTCTAAGAAAACTTGAAACAGACAGAAACACTGCCTTGGTTTTTCCCTAGGTGAGGTCATGGGTCAGCACTGTTTTCCTCTTTCTGCATTTTTCTCCTTTTCTCTCTCTAGATTTTTGATAATTAATTATGTTGCTTTTAGAATCAGGATTTTTTAAAATGTTGAAGGTAGCTGCAGGGAGAGGTCGCGCAGCGTGAGACGCATATGGCCCCAAGAGGGTAGCATTAACGGCTGCCGAGAAAGAATCCACCCAAGGGGCCTGGGCCCGCACTGTCCCAGTGACAGACAGATCCATTCCTCATAGAAGTTCATGACTAAATACCTTCTGGGCGGGGGTCTCGGGACAAGCCTGCCTGACGCGCTCCCAGGTGTCCTGGGGACTGGGTCAGGACAGACATCCTGCCCTGCATGGAGGCACCAGGAAGGTCTCAAGCCCACTTCCAGAGCACAGGATGGAGGTGTCCGGGACACCTCCTGACTCACCTTGCAGGTCAGAGCGACAAGGTCATGCCAAACGCCGAGTGGTGACCATGGCCATGCCAGTGCAAGGGCCTGGACCCGCCCGGGAAGAAGGTGGACACGGACTGGCCTACTGATACTCTGCCAGGGCACAGGGAGCCAGCCAACCTCCTCTGGTGGCAGCTCGCCGTGTGACTTACGAAGAACGTGACCCAGTCCCCCAGTGAGCGGCAAGGAGCTGGGTCCCCCACCTGGAGCTCCAAGAATGGGGCCTGGCACTCAGCAGGAGCCCTGACCTGCACTGGGCTCTTCCTGGGAACACACTGCCCCTGCCCAGGAGCTGCACATCCCGGCTCGTGAGGCCCCGGGTGCTGCCAGGGACAGAGGTGATGGGGCCCGAGTGCTGGGTACTCACTGATCTTGCAGGGGGGCATCACCTCCAGGCACTCCTTGTGGGCCCCCACACCACACCTGGTGCACAGGTAGCCCTGGTAGAAGGTGCCCCTGCGGGGGAGGGTGGGGTGAGACCCAGCTGCATCCGGCTCCTCCCTGTAGCCCGCCTGGCTGTCTGCCCTCAGAGGTGACCACGGCTTCTGAAAGCCGAGACTCCAGCGGCCCCTCCAGCCCCCACGCCATCCCTGGACACCCTGGTCACCCCGTCCGGCTAGACCTGAGGCCCCCAGGCCCAGGCCTGATTCCCATGGGGGCCCCGAGGTGGGAGTCAGAGCCCTGGGCACCCACCGGAGGAACATCCTGCAGGCCTTGCAGCTGGTGGTCCTGTCGAATGTGTACATCTGGAAGCTGTGGTGGTTGGCATTGGCCTTGTCTGGCTTGATGTTGGACCTGCAGGAGATGGCATGCGCTGCACTTGCAAGACACGGGCCTGGCTGTGCGGAGCTGGAGGCCCAGACTCGCCTCCTGGCTCTGCCCAACCTCGGCCAGGCTGCGGTCAGAACAGGGCTGGAGTGGTGTCACAGGGCGCAGGCACGGGCACTGTCAGGCTCCGTCCAACCTAGCAAGTATGTCACTGCCCCAGCCCAGGTCGCCAGCTGTCCTCTGGCCAGTGTGTCCACACCGTGGGCCACCCACTCAGCCATCCCCGAAGGCTGGCAGCTGCCGGCTCAGCCATGGAGGAATCCTAGTCCTGGTGTCCAGGAGACTTGGCCTGATGGTCACGGACCAGCGCCCAGAGCAGGGCAGTGTCATGAGAGCTTGTCACGTGTGACGTCGCTGCCCAACGGTGTCACAGCTGCCTAACGTCTTCCTAAGGCAGGACCTGCCCTTGGTGACAGGTCTGCGTGTCACAGCACGCTCAGGGTCTGTGCTGCCCACAGTTGCACAGAGGACAACTGACCCCACCTGCGCCCTTCACGGCGTGTAAGCCTGATATTCCAAGACCCAGACACCGGGGCCTAGAGTTCAGGAGGGATGCTGGGGCTCCAGGGGACACCACGGATTTTCAACTGTCACCTGCTGCCAGGCAGCAACAGCAAGGAGGCCAGCCGGAGCGGTGCACAGGGCCAGGCACCACGCCCGACGGGGACAGGGCCCCGTGGGAGGGTTGAGCGCCACGTGTATGTGAAGCTGCTCACAAGAACACACTGGGAGGAAATCCCCACCCACGGAAGTGCCCGAGACTCCCCACAACGCCCATCCACCTGGGCCCGAGAAACCCCTTCCCTCCTCTCGGCAGCACCTGACACGGCCCAGGCAGAGAAGCCTCAGGAGGCAGCGTATTCACCCGGGGCCCCATCCCGCCCTCAAGGCGGACACGCCGGGAGTCACCTGAGCCCTCTCGCCAGCCCCATCCCGCCCGCACATGGGGCACCTCTTGCTCTCTGGGGCAGCGCTGGGCTTCTGGACAAACGCCCAGCCCGGCTCAGGGTGGGAGGGTGGGGACCATCTGATCACAAGGCCGGGCCCGCCTGGGGCGGCAGGGCAGCGGGCGCACTCAGCAGCCTTCAGCAGCCCAGGGTGCTGGGGCTCGTCCGACTCTGCCACCACCCTTGCCCAAGGTCCCGAGGAAACCCAGCCTCGGCTCCGCGCTCACATGGCCATCTCGAACTGCTCCATCCACCTCCGCTTCATGTCCTCCGTCTTGCAGAAGAGCTGGAAGCCCTGCTTCCCTTGGAGGTGGATCAGGTAGAAGCCGTAGGACCACTGCAGGGGACAGGGAACCTCCTGAAGCTGGCACGCCGGCACGTGTGTCCCTGTGGGCACACGCCCTCGAGTGTGTGTGCAACGTGCTCCTGCACTGCTGTGCGTGCCGTCCATGCAGCCCGTGTCCACATCGTGAGGGTGGTGCGCCACCCTGCCGAGTGTGCCAGTGTGCGCTCACGGTGCTTTTGCATGAGTGTGTGCGTGTGCACACGTTCTGCCTGTGTCCCAGCCTGCACGTGCTTGTCCTGGCCTGAGCGCACACGCGGTGCTCTCACACGTGTGTGCGTGTTTGGACCCATGTCTGAGTGCACAGTGCGCTCACAGGCACACGTGTCTGGCTGCGGGTGCTCATGCGCATGTGCCCTGAGCACCTCTATGTGTGTACACAGCGCTCTCACACACGCGTGTGCCAGGCCCGAGTGCGAGGACGCGCCGCTGCATGTGTGCGCGTGTGTGCGCGTGAGGCAGGGGGAGTGCTAGGGGCCCTGTCCTCCCACCCCGGGGACCCCACCGAGGTCCGCGGCCCGGCCAGGCCCCAGGGAGCTCTGCTCCCACCTCTTCAACCCACACTGAAGACTCACTCCTCTGATGCAGAAAAGCAAACAAAATTTTTTTAAAACCAGGCTGGGTTTCGAAACCCAGTAAACACCCTCCCCAGTGGCCCCCGCCACCTCCAGGCGCTCTCGGGACAGCGACAAGGGGGCCAGGGGCCAGTGCTTGGGAAGCACAGGCCTCGTGTCAGGGAGGGAAGGGGAGGAGGGCGGCCAGGGAGGAAGGAGGAAAAGGACAAGGGAAGTGGAGAAGGGACAGCACAACACAGGGAATGCGACACCCAGCAGGAGCAGGAACCTGTGACCACCTGGGCAGGGAGGGGCTCATGTAACACTTCCTGTGACGCCCAAGTCTTTGTCACGACCACGTCACTTCCACAGTGGGAGGTGGACGAACCCTGAGGCCCACAGGGCCCCAGACCCAGCTCAGCACGAGGGCCAGCACCGGGCAGCGAGCCAGCGAGCTGGGGGTATGGGGTGCTTACCATTTTCCCGTGAGACTAGGAAGCATGAGGGGAGGGAAGGAAAGGGGGACAGTCACTGAGACGCCTGGCCTAGCCTGCAGGACATGGCCCCGCCATGTGCCCCGACTTGGGGTGGCAGGGATGGGGCCCCCTCCCAGAGGCCGGGACCTGGAGGCCCCTCTTTGCTGGGCTGGGCCCTGAGCTTGGGCAGTGGCCTCAGTTCACTGCCTCAGGATGCCAGTTGCCCGGTTGGACACCAGGCTTGGGAAGAGCCTACACACACCGGGTCTGCACGCCACAGAGGGCTGAGGCCAGGGCGGTGGTGTCCGGAAGCTTGGTTCTGCCCACCTGGCACAGGGCCACACACAGCAGTTGCCCTCACTGCCCTGTCACAGCAGCTGCTGCCTGCCCCACACAGAGCGGGCTGGAGGAGACAGGGCCTCGCTACAAGGACCAAGGCCACCAAGGTCCTGCCATAGCTGAAAGCCAGCCTCTCCCCCCGCCTGCCTCCTCCCTGGGAGTGGGCGCCTATGCGCCCAGCCCCCTCTTTGGGCTCCTCTACAGCAGTCAGTGCCCCACCGGGGCAGACCCACCTTCTTGATGTCCTTGTTGTGCATGGGGTCATCGGTCATCTTGTGGAACAGCAGCTCGATGACCTCCTTCAGCTCGTAGCTGTAGCCCTTCCTCTTGCACACGATCACCACCTTGTCAAACAGGAACAGGTACCTGGCGGACAGCACAACAGGGGTGAGCACCATGCTGCGTCCACTCGGGGGGCACGCACAGCCCCCTCAGGTGCCCCCGGCAGACGCGCAGTGTACATCTCTGAACCCCGAGACTCCAGGAAGCCCCAAGAGGGCAGGGCCTGAATCTGCTGTAGCCCTAGCACCACAGGACACCGGCCACGTGTGGGTTACGCCAGCGCCCATCCCCAGCTCCTGCCCACACACTCTCGGTGGTCACTAAGCCCAACCCAGGCAGGGCCCACTGCCCCATCTCACCCGCGCTCAGCGAAGAGGAACCAAGCCCAGGCAAGTACCGGGTGTCCTACCCGGGCTGCCCTGGCTCACCTGTCCTGCTTGGTGTGGTTGACGATGGACCGGACTTTCAGCTCACCGTCTATCTTCGGCCTCCCAAACTCCTCCAGTTTCACTTGCTGGAGAAGGGCAGGAAAGGCCATTAGCAGCCTCCCGCTTCCCAGCCGCAGGACAGACAGGCGCGAGCCCTGGCGGGTCACAGGGAGCACGGGCATAGGCCAGTGAAAACACCAGAGGCCCCCGGCCATGCTGCGGACTACAGCAGTGACCGGCGAGAAGGCACAGGGCTACAGGCCACTGTCCCTTCCCAGGCTGGCCCCACACGAGCACAAAGGCCGACTGGCAGCCCCGGTCACGTCCATAGACACTGCTGTGCGGAGCCCAGGGCAGGACCTGCAGGCCCCGAAAAAGCAAAGGCAGGAAAAGGGGACGTTATCAGGTGGTGGCCAGTAGGGGATAAAACCCCCGTCTGGGGCTCAGTTTCATCTTCTGCATGTGGCCGGTGTGTCTTCTGCTGCTTTGATTCAGAAATGCCTCTCTCAACATTCCCTGTGCAGGGTCCCCACCACCGGGAAAGGAGGGAGCCGTGATGAGCAGTCTGGCGAGGCCAGGCCACAACGAGCCGGCAGTCGGGGCCATGCCCCACATTCCCCACCTGCTCAGGGCTCTGGGCCACGCTCGGTCCCTCCCGTGCACACAAGGGGGCCTGGGTCTTGGGGACGCCAATGTCCTCAGAGGGGGTGTTCTGTTCTTATCGGACAAACAGGAGTACGCGCACGTAGAAACTGGTGTCCTTCCTCCTGCTACGAGAGGGTCGCCAGCAGCTGTGGCACGACCAGAGGGGACCCCCAGTGCCTGGGCCCCAGCGGGCGGCAACAGTAGGACAATTCTGTCTTCCGGTCAGAAGACATGTGAGGAGGAATCACGCAGCGCAGCAACTCCTTTCCGTTTCCTCCTAGGGGACACCCAGGATGCCATCTCCCAGACCCCAGGGGTAAGGGATGGGCACAGGCCACGTGTCCTGGCCTGGCGTCCAGGTGTCCTCTGCCCACACGCATGACAATGAAGATCTCTGGGAGTGAAACTTTGTGTCAAAATGAGTGGACGCCTTCAGCAGGTGATCCTGCTGCCCGGGGGACATCGGGAGAGGTTTGGACACCGTGGGGTGATGATCTCCCCAAATGTCACAGTGCCGAGGAAGAGGAAGAAGACGCTAGCAGAGACAGCTGTCAGCCCTGCGTCAGCCCCAGACCCCAACCTGGTCCCGGGCCCTGCAGGGACGGCGGGTGTGGGGCGCAGGGTTCCACACTCACCAGGTTCTCGATGGAGCTCTGGAACTCGCTGATCTTCTTCAGGGTCTCCTTGTCCCGCTTTACCTCATTGATGTACATCGCCAAGTCCTGGGGATCGACATGGGTTAGTGCTCTGTGCCCCCCGCATCCAGGCTCCCCTGGGTCCTGCTGGGGCAGCCGATCATGGAGACAAGAAGAAACGGAGGGTGTCGTATCGAGGGGGGGCCGATGCTGAGACCCTTTGGGCTCCCAGGGCCGTGCCTGCTACAGGTCTTTCTTCTGAGTTAGGTCCAAAGGGCCACTGCCACAACTGGGACCAAGCCACCGGCACCCCCAGCGCCCCAAGCCTCGCCCCACTAGGAGCTGGGCAGAACGAGTGAGCAGTCGGTCTGGCAGCTTTGCCTTAGCTCAGAGCCCATTGGGCCCGCTGCAGCCCTCCTGGAGGCCACAAGGGGGCAGTGCCCACCATGATCCAGCAAGTCAGCAGCAGCCTGGACCCTGCACAGACCCTGCCTGGACAGCGGAAGGAAATCGCCGAAATGCAAATGTGCAGGGCTGGCCCCGCCCCCTCCTGCCCTTCCTTGCTCTGGGGCCTCACTGTCCACACAGCAGGACTGAGCATCAGCGGGCCTGGAGGCCTTGAAGACTAGGACCAACGGGAGGGCAGCACCCGAGAACTGGCTTCACAGGCCCCACAGCGTCTGACACCCCGGCCGCTGTGTGGGCATGGAGATGATGCCCAGGGGCCCCTCCTGGGGACCTGGCGTGCAGAGAGCGGGCACCTGTCCCTAGGGGAGGCCAGGCCCCCAGACGGAGGGGACGCACGCGGCCGTGGCGTGAGAATGCGAAGGCAGCGGCTGAGGCTCAAGGTGCTGGGCACTCACTCCCAGGTGGGGCTGGGGACGGGGACCCCAGCTGGGCGCCCAGCCTACAGCCCCTCTGCCTCGGCCACCCCTGCCACGGTCTCACGGGGCATCCCAGCCGGCATGTGCCCTCCAGCAACACGTCCACTGCCACCACCGCGCTGTGCAGTGAGCTCGTTTGAGCTCCGGTAATGTAGGGTGGGGTGCTAGGTGCCACGCTGGCCCAGGAGTGCCTGCCTCAGTTTACCCACCCACCTGCATGGCTTCCAGAGCTTCTTTGAGCTGCTGCCGCTCTGGCCGGTCAGTAGAATGGCTCAGGAGCTCCTGAGGGGGACAGGGGGTTTCCGTCAGCCCTCGGGGTGCCCTCGCCCCCACCTGGCACAGGTGTGTGCAGACCAGTCCTGGGGACAGAGTCACCCCTGCCCACCACCTGCCATTCAAAGGCCGCAGACAGACAGCCCACGTGGGGCTCCCCGCACTGACGAGGCTGCTCCCCAGGCTGAAGTCACTGATTCCTGACCCACCTTCCCGCCCCCACCAACACTTCCTCTTTCCATTGTCTCTGTGGCTACAGGGAAGCTCACCACCGCCTACGTGAGTCACCGCAGTGCTCTCAGTCCTGGTCTGATACTTCCATCTCCTTCGCTTTTCCTAACCGCAATCCTGGTTTTAATCCTACTTTCCCCTGGCTCATTACTGCAACAGCACAGGCTGGGGTTGTGTGCAGGTGCAAGCACGGGTCTGCGTCTGCGTGTGCGTGTGCGTGTGCGTGGCTCAGGCCGCCCGCAGGCTGCAGCTGGCACGGGGTAGCACAGGCGGCTCACCTTGAGCAGCAGGTGGTACTTCAGCACACGTTGCATGGGCACCACCAGCAGGTCCTGCAGCTTGAACTTGCCGTCCTGGACCTTCAGCGTGCACTCCTGGGGGACGGGGAGTGGCCCTGAGCGCCGTCCCCAGAGCCCAGGAGGGGAGCGAGCCCTGCTCCTGGCCCGCACCACACCATGCGCGGTCAGGGTGGGCATCACCACGTACAGCAGGGTGTGCCACCACTCACTGCCGGGGAGTGACCCTCGGGGACTCTGGACACCCCGCGGCGGCCCCCTTCAGAGTACAGGGCTCTGCCCACTGGGCCACATGATGCTGGGGTCGCATCCAGGGCCCTCCTGTGACCCCGACACTGGAGCCTGGGCTCTGGCTGCAATGCTCTGGTGTCCACGGGAGACAGGGACACCAGGAGGGGAACAGCTATCAGACACAGGGACTCAAGAGGGGCAGGAGAGAGTCCGCGTGAGGAAAGGGTGGGCAGAGCAGGGCGTGGGCACAGCGAGAGGCCTCAAGCTTCCAGCGGTGACAGCTGGATGCCTGCAGTCAGCAGCAGGAGGGCCAAGGGCCACACTTATTCCGGCCCCACCTGACAGCACCCAGGGCTCCAGCGCCTTCCAGCCAGGCTCCGTCCCCACGCAGGGACACACGAAGGAAGCGGAAGCCACAACCGGACCCCCACACCCCCGCCACACACAGGAAGGGCACGGGCGGCTCACCTCCACTTTCTGCCTGAAGTCCTCGCGGCTGGCCAGCAGCTGGTTCAGCGTACTCTGGGCATGCTCCATGTGGCTGCAGTACTCGCCGTAGATCAGGAGCCTGCGGGCGGGGACAGACCAGCAGTGATGACGCTCAGGCCACGCCAAGCAGGGGAGTGCAAACAGGCATGTGGAGACATACACACACGTGGGCAATGCAACAAGTTCACGCCGCGGTGCCCTGCAGCCCCTCCATCACCGTCCCTAACCTCCCACCCCTCCCCGACACCCTGGGCCAGGAGCAGCGCAGCCAGATCCTTGGCACAGGACAGTGCCCACTCCTCTCCCACAGCTCGGCTTCGGCTTGCCGGCCCCGTGCTACCGCAGAAGGAGCCACACAAGAAAAGAGAAGGCACCAGCTACCGCCAGGGCCGGCAGCCTCGGGACACTGCCCTCTGCCTCAGGACAGGTCCACGCTGGTGCCGGCAGCTGGGGACTCCTGGGAGGATTCTGAAGGTGGCCCTTGTTGCTGCTGCAGGGCCCAGGGGTTCCCTAAGCAGGGACAGTGGTACTTGCACCCTCGTCCTGAGAGCATGGCAAGGCCAGAGCCCCAGCAGGAGACACAGCGGGGTCCAGGGGCTGGGGCCAGCTTGACCAGCCTGCCTGCTGCCTTCTTGTCCTCCGGTCCCCCACCGGATCCACATGCCTTCTCTGAGAGCTGACATCTTACAAACCACACCTCGGCACCCTCCGGGCCCGGGTGACCACCTGCAGCCCTGTAGAACACCCACACTGCGTGATAGTACTGGTGAGCACAAGGACGACAGCGGCCACTCCTCAGCCGACAGCCTGGTCGTCCTGTCACCCACTCCTCAGGCAGGGACACCAGCCAGTGCAAACACCAGCCACAGGAGCAGCTCTGATACAAGACCACGCCTGTCCTCCAACGGCCCCTAGGTGTCAGCCCGTGTCTCCAGGCCTCCCTGGCACAGGGCACCCAAGATGCTGCATCCTTTGGGGCACCGGGCACAGTTCTCAGGCCAGCCTGGGCTTCTCCTGGGCTGGGCTCTCACAGTGATCGTTCTGCACCATGGGCCCTGGGCAGGTCTCCTGTCCCCAGGCCCCAGACATTTAGGACCAGAACTCAGCCCTGGAGATGGCAGGCAGGAACAGGTTTCCCACCGGGACTGCCCCATCCGAGCTGGCTCAGGCAGGGCCACACAGCCAGCCGAGCTGTGGCTCCACCCTCGGGGTTCCCTGGGGTTCCTCTGCCGGCACACAGGGAGCCCCAGGCAGGGCTGAGGTCCCACTGTGGCCCCAAGACAGTGGAGGCTGAGGTCAGCGGAGGACAGGCCCTCAGGCAGCACCCACCCACACGGACTTGATCATGTGGTGGCAAAGCTCTCGGCCTCCCTGCCCGCTGCCACAGGCACAAGCTCCCCCCTGCCTTGCCGGATGAGACTCAGCCCTTCGGTTCCCCTACACAACAAATCTGTTGCTAACTTAAGAATTTTAACGTAAAGCTTGATAACAACCCCACCCTCTGGACGTACTGGGGGATGGGCTATTTTCTCTTCCTAAAGAACTGAACAAAGGCTACTGAGGCCCCCCTAGGGCAGAGAGGAGCTTGCCAAAGGGATGGTCACGAGCCAGTGGCCAGCCTGGAAAATGAGCTGGAAGGAAGCTGGTGACCGCACCGGGCTCTGCCACACTCAGGCCATCCCTGCATGGGCAGACACACCTCAGGCATCACCGACCGGCTGCTCCTCACCCTGTGCCCAGGCCCTGCCCAGACCATGATGCCAGGCCCCAAGAAGGGAGGCCAGGGAGAGCCCCAGGGTGCCCAGCCGAGTGCCGGAAAGGGACCCGGCCTGTCCACAGCCCCCCCACTGCTACTGCACTCTGGCTGCAGACCCATGGGCTGTGTGGGTCCCCCGGACTCCCCAAGAGGCCCACAGGCCTGGGCCCAGCTGCCTAGCAATGGCCCTATGTTTCCCACCCGAGGGAGTCTCTGGGGGCAGGCAGGGCACCCACAGCTCCTTGAAAATGCCACGGCCAGGACAGCAGCTCTATGGGCTCCCTGACAGCTCATGCTCCTCAGGGCATGCAGGCCCGAGGCTTCAGCAGGCAAGGGGTACACAGCAGGTGCACTGAGATGGCACAATGCCAGTCACCAAGATGGGAGGAGCAAGGGGGGTTCTGGGGCCCAAGAGTCCCCTCCTAAGCTCTAGCTCTAATGTGGCCCTGAAGCCTTGTGTTCGGAAGGTGATCAAGCCATGGGCGTCACAGCTGACTGACTGCTAGGAGGTGGGGCCTGGTGTGAAAAGGGCTCGTGGGGGCGTGGACTGAGAGGGTTCAGCTCCTCCCAGCTCCTCCCTTCTCTGTGCCTCCCCCACCCCCACCCCACCGCCATGCTGTGAGCAGCTCCTCGGCCAGGCCCTTCCTCATACCGCCCAGCGTGCCCAGATGAACCTCTCCTCTCCTGAGCTGGAACAGGCCGGTACTGCATCCCAGGGGCGAGAGTGATAGACACCTCTGGTGAAGACCATGCTGGAAGATGACCTCCACGGTCTCCAAGGTGCAGGCTGTGGGACAACAGCGCCAAGGACCCACCTGCCCCGAGCAGCCAGCTCTCACTCACCTCTCCTTGAACTCCAGGAAGACCTTGGCTAGGGTGCCACCCCCCGCCATCATGGACACATCGATGGCCCGCAGGAAGCTGTGGTGCACCTTGGTGAGGTCCTGGGGGCAGAAGAGCAGTCAGTGCCACAGGGCAACCGCCACGGCCCTCCAGATGCTGCGCGCCTGAAGGGGGCCGGTGCTGGACCCACAGCCTGGCCCCGTGGGCGCTGGTGCCCCTGGATCAGAAGGCTCTGCAGCACGGGAGCATGGGGAGCCTGAGAGCTCTCAGAACCTGCCGTGGGGCAGGAGGGGAGCTGCCCACAGGCCACCCCAGTTGCTAGGGACGTTGCGGCCCGGGTTCAGGCTCCAGTGCCAGCAGGGCAGAGAAGGCAGAGCGTTGTGTCCCTGTGCCCTCCCTGCTGCTCATGGAGCTGAGGGCCCTGCAGTCAGGGTGGGCGGCAGCCTGAGGAGACGCACTGCAGATGACCACCAGCCCCGGGTGCCCCCCTGGGCCAGCTTCCTTCCTGCCTGCGGTCAACAGTCCTGACCATGGCTCACAGCAGGTCTAGTACAGAGGCGGGAAGCTCTGGGTCACGTAAGCCTCACCTGAGATAGTGGCCCGGAGCCCCTCAAGCCGCCAGGAAGCCACAGGGGCCGGAACAGCAGGTTCCCGGAGGAAAGGAGCCCGCGTGCCCATGTGGCTCGCCATGCAAGGGTCATCACTACACCCACGGTCAGACTCTGCCACGGAGCGAAGGACCTGCTGCCTCTGCCACCCCACTCCACTCCTTCCCACAGCAGGTGGGGACATCAGAGCCTCCTTGTCGGCGGGGCAGAGGCCTGTCAGCTGTGGCACTGGCAGGGACACAGCTCTCTGGGGTCACCAGGGATGGCAGCTGGGTGGGTGCCCGAGGAGGGGCGGGGCCGGGACGCTCACCTCCAGGTTGATGAAGACGGCTGCTATATCCGCCGGGCTCAGCACCAGCCGCAGGGGGCCCATGTAGTTCTGGAAGACAGAAGCCCACACTGCCACCTAGCCACCGCCAAGGCCACAGTCACCATGCCCAGGGGAGGCACTCAGGGACTGCCGGACAAGGGGGACTGAGCACAGTCGGGCAGCGGCACAGGGTTGGACACTGCCCATGCCCCGGGCAGCCCCAGCTTAGAAACAGTGTCCATCTTTTACACTCTGCCGGGACTGGAGGCCAGGTGCATGGGGCAGGTGACGGGGCTGCTCAGGAGGGCTCGGGGTCTGCACCCACACCCCATGGCCTGACCTCGTCCCAGCGCAGGACGTCCTGGCCATCCAGTGTGGCCACTGCATCTGGACCCAGGGGCTGGGAACAGGCCTAGAGGGGCACAGACAGACTCTGGTGCCTGGTCCAGCACAAGCTCGGGGCAGAAGCCACAGTGACCACCAGGTGCCTGCTGGAGAGACCAAGGGGCTGCTGAGCCCCACTGTCCTACTGCAGCTGCCCTGACTCCGGGCCCGGGACAGCAGCTGCCGTCCCCCGTGGCCAGAGCCCCCGTACCTTCTCGATGTCCTCCAGGGTCCGGTAGTACTTGGCCTCGGTCTCCTGAATCTCCAGCAGGCAGCAGCTCCTCTTGTCATCCTCAGTCATGCCCATTTTCTGGGGGACACAAGATGTAAACCTGGGGCCACCCTGCCCGGCCGTCACCTGTGAGTCAGGACCTCGAAGCCCCAGCCTCCCGTCCCCCAAACAGGGCACCTCCTGGGGGGCTAAGAGGTCACCAAGTGTGAAATGAGGGGTCCAGAGGGGACCCAGGCCTTTCCCACTGTTTTGCAGTTGAGGAAACCAAGGCACAAGGAGGGGCAGAGATGCGATGCTAAAGAAAGCATGTAGGCTTCTGGAGTCCCGGGCTCCTGCTCCCCAGTGCTGTCCCCGTATCCAGCAGCAGCCCCAGCCAGGAGCGGAGCCCCCAGCGCACACAGGTGGAGTCCAGCCGCCCCACCCAGCAGGCAGCTCTGGCCACCCCTGCCACTGTGCCAGTTTCCATAGTGGACCACAGCCCAGGTCAGGCCGCCAGGGACACAGCCGGGGTGGGTGGCCTTGCTCAGCACTCTCTTTAGGATCTCACAGCTGAGCGAGACACAGCCACCCAGAGCGTGCTGGGTAAGGCGCACTGCTTTGTGTCTGGCCATGCCGCCCCCCAGGAAACCCTCCAAGGCCCCTGAGCTGGGCCCCAGCTCCAAAGCAATCTGAGAGGGGAGCTGTGATTTGGCTTCATGGGGGCTGCGAAGCCCATGACCCCCACCCCGGGCACCTGACCATGGCCCCAGGAACGGTGCCCCATGTTTTCGGAGGGGTCTGCAGCCTCCCAGAAAGTGCAGCAGATGCGTCTCGGGCCTCTCGCGGCCCCTTACCTGCCACTCACCTGCATGTACCTGATCTGAGAGCGTGGGGGACAAAGACAGCGAGCATCAGCACAGCCACTATACCCCTGGGCCCATCCCACGTAAGCCCGACTGGCCGCCGGGACAGGCCTCCCAGGGCCTCGCAGGGACCAGGCAGCAGGCAGTGGGACACGGCCCCTGCCACCCCGGCTCTGCCCTTTCTACAGCAGCCTTGCACTTAGACTGTTTGGGCAGCTTCAACTGCGACAGGGAATACAGAACCAGCTGTTTACCTTGGGGGACCCTGGCAGGGAGCGGAGGCCCCACTGAGCTGGACAGGAAAGGCTGGGTGCCTGGACCCTAGGACCCGGCCAGGCCCGGGGCAGGGGAGAGCCAGCCCACCCTGGCAGGCTGGGCAAATCACCCATGTCCTCTGCCTGTGCGTCAGGGCCAGAGGCAGCAGCCGCCCCCAGGAGCGGAGCGCCCCACTACGGTCTGGCCAGGCACAGGTGGGGGTCTCTGAGAAATCATGCACAGCCTGGGGGTGGGGAGCCCCAAATTCCACAGAGGCCACTAACCCTGTGTGCTCACATCACCCACAGGGGCTGACGGGTGTTTGTGGACTGCCTGGCACCAAGCTGCAGCTCCACCAGAGGCCTGCTGGGGTCCTGTGGGCCCTTTGGGGACAGCTTGGGGAGGGGTCCGTCCAGACCACACTGGGGGACTGGGGAGCAGACACCCCTGTAGGGCTCCCGGGCTCTGCAGAGAGTATGGGGACTGCCAAGCTGCAGCTCCACCAGAGGCCTGCTGGGGTCCTGTGGGCCCTTTGGGGACAGCTTGGGGAGGGGTCCGTCCAGACCACACTGGGGGACTGGGGAGCAGACACCCCTGTAGGGCTCCCGGCTCCCGGGC